TGGCAGGCGCAGTTGTACAGCGAACTTCCAGGCCTTCGTCTTTGGACTAGTGCTGTACCCTTGATCCCTCTAGTTCTATGGATTCCTTGTTGGACTGAGTAGTTACTGGATCCTCTGGCTCTCCTCCATCGCTCTGACGGCCATTGTGGATTCGCCCACCTCTGATTCTGTAAGCCTACTAGTAAACCCCCTTGCATAAGTATACACACGTTTTCTATTGATTCTGTTCCTGAAGAGAGCCCTATTACATGGTCCTAAGGAGGATCCCCGATTTCCCAGAGAATGATTGTGAGGTGTGTGTGTGTGTGTGTGTGTGTGTATGGAGTCTTGCGATGTGGCAGTTGTATCTGTGAGCTTCTTAGTGTCTCTTCAGCACGTGACATTTGTTTGCTGCACTGTGGAGTCTAACTAGTATCCTTGTTTGACTTTACAGAAGTTGTTCGCAAGACGTAGCTTCTAGAGTGAGGGAGCTCTGCAAGGGGAATGTTACTGAAAGGAAGGGTCTTGAAGGTGTGTGGTGTGGTGTGGAAGGACATCCTGTGATCCTGAGCAAGCCTTTCACAGTGCTCTCTGAACATACGGATTCCTTCACTTTTTCATCTCTGAGCTCTCCAGACCTAGATCCTGTGGCACATATGCTGCAGAGGGCTGTTTTTATCAATTGAAAGCAGTAAAAGGTTTGCCATCACTGACCTAGACTGTCATCAAACTTGATGTCTATGGTAACCTCTTTATCTTGTTCTAGGAGGGTTTAGCCAAAGTTTTTTCTGCTTTGTAGGAAATATGAAAAAAACTAACTTCGAGTAGAGAAATGGCTTGACCGGTGTAACCAGGTACGTAGATGTCAAGTACATCTTCCCTATTTGGCTAATATTTTATGTTTTCCACCTTTAAAAGGGCTGCTTAGTTTTTGAGATCATTTGGGTGACACTGAAATCAACTTAGCAGAAATATTTTCAGATGTGGCCAGTGTTTCTTTTGCTCTGTTTTCATAGTGCTGTGGTATCACATTTGATAGGCAAGTGTTATACAAAAAGTTACAACCTGCAGCCCTAGAACGTTGTATTAAAATACTTTGTCCTAAACATACCTATCCCTTGTTATCCCCAGCATTTTCTCTGTATTATGTTACCTGAAAGGGTAGCAGATGCTTTTCTCACTTAATGTCAGTAATCTGTTTTTAAAAATAGTAAATTCTGCAGAAAAATAGTAGCAACCTTTTTAAGTTATTTGAAAAGAGAAAATCAGACTGCATCACAGTTGGGCTTTAAATGTTTCCATTCTCACCTCCAGACATTGCTTTGGATTTTTAAGATTTTATTTGTTTTATTTTTATTTTTGATACTAGGAATCAAATTCAGGGCTATGCACTGCTGAACTGTATCCCCAGCCCCAAGACATTGGTTTGTTTGAATCATGTGGCTTCAGCCACACTGCAGTCCTTGGTTATTTATTGTTCCTTTCAATGCTTTAAAAGTTCTTATTGCGTATTTGCTTTGATTGGAAGTTATTTTCCCCCATTTCCTCTGTATGTTAAAAATATTGAATCCTCAGCCTTGCCTATGTAACACATAAACCAAAATATATTGGCTTAAGAAAAGAAACCATCTCATTTAATCTTGAACTGGAGTTACTGGGAAATTCCTAAGCTGGTGATACCTGGGGTCACAGAGGAGCCTTCAGTCTCTTGGGACCTTGACTGAGGTTGCCTGGTTCCAGATGACTTCACTCCCTCAGATGTCTGTGCTTGCCCGGAGGCCCCCATGTCTGGAGTGTGCTAGCCCCAGGCTTTCTCACAATCTGACTGTGTCCAGGAAGACAAGCCCCAGTGAGCCAGTTCTTTTCAAGTTTAGGTTTGTGTCATGTTCAGTGACATCTTTTGGCCAAATCCAGTCAGTGGCGAAGCCCAGGTCCTTGTCTTTGGGTACTGTTAGAGGGTGTGGGTACATGGAGGTGGCTCATGGGGAACCAATACAGGAACAGGGCATCATAAGAAGTGTACATTAAATACATTGTTTTCCTGTATGAGCAGGGGCAGAACATGTTGAGGTATACATGCATTTTGGAGCGTGTACTGGGGATAGAACTCAGGACCTTGTGTTTGTGAGGCAGGCGGCAGCTCTACTGAGCTAAATCCCTGGCCATATAAATGTATATCTTGTTTTTGTTTTTGTACATGTATATTTTGCAGGAAACTGGGCATGTGAAAGCCAGAGATGTTTTAGTGGAAATGATCACATGGTCCCAGTGGGGCATTAATAGAAGAGTTCATGCAGTCCATGATCATTCCTATGACATTGATGTAAATCAAGTTATAATGGTGCTCTGATTTAAATTACTAAATTAATTACTAGGAGAACATTAATTGTTGGTAAACCAGTTGGTAATATATGTTTCCATTAGCCCAGTAATCGATTTTATATCTAATCTCTACCAGTGACTGAATTTGTGCGTACATATTCAATGGGCCCTTATTCCCATCTTCCGCCTACCACCTGTGGTTTTGTTTTATTTTATTTATTTATTTATTTTTGAGACAGGTTCTTAGTTTGTAGTGTAGGGTGTCCTTGAACTCTCTAGATAGCCCAGCCTGGCATTGAACTTGAAGTTGAACTTGTGATCTTCCTGCCTCAGTCTTTCAATTAGGTGGGAGTGATATGTGTGCCTCCATCCCTGGCTTTTTGCAAGGCTTCTTGTGTAGGAGACTATACTGCTACAGTGATTCTGTTTTTTGGAGGAGGTACTAGGGATTGAATTTAGAGCCATCTGCATGCTAGGTGGGTATACTACCACTGAGCTACCTCTTTGGCCCTTAATATGTAGAGTGTGTTAAGGAGGACAATCTAGCACCTAGCCTGCCTGTTCTCACAATCTTCCCACATTTTTCTTCTTTCAGCTACCATCCAAAGTCCTCTTTGTGTTTCCAAGAACAACAGAAAATGAAGAAATTTTTAGTGAATTGTTTATTCTAACCTTGTTTTATATTGTATTTTACCAGCTTTATGGTATCCATGAATTCAGGTGGACTGTAGAAATGTGTAAAACTCAGCTTTAGGGAAACTGACATAAATAAGATAGAGCTGATATGTAGATAAAGACTTGAGAAATGTCTGTGTTGAGCACAAATATTTCTGTAGACTTTATGATGCCATGAAAATGACACATTTGCTTCATGTTTTGGATGGATCCTAAGAAGAGATCCACCCACATTGACTTGACATGGCACATAACTGTTTACACATAAGGCTAAAACGTCTTATGTGGTCGCATGAAGGTTGTAGTAGAACGTTTTTCACCACCGTCTTGGAAATGAACACTACTAGTATTCTTCAGTGTAAACAGTTGCCTGATGCTGAAAAAAATAACTCTTAATCAGGTTTTTCTGGAGTTGCTGAAATACCTGTGTTGCCAGGCAGCTGTAATGGTACTGGGGATCAAACTGAGGACCTTGCACTTGCAAGGCAGGCGGCAGAACCAGCTGGGCAGCTTTTACAAGGTGGTAATTGATTAATGGATGAAAGTTCAGATGTCTGGAGGATTGAGTTGACCATGAGTCATTCAGTGACTGTCTGTACCTGTGTCCCAGCCCATGTTCACATGCAGTATGTGCAGCAGACTGGTCAGAGTGATGTTTCCTGGCAGATGTTCCCACTGCTCATTTGCACTTTAATGTTGTCTTACTTCAGTTTTCCCAAGTTTGTTGATAAAGGTACATTTTAGCTAAGTCCAAGGTTGATTGCCGTTATTTGCAAGTGTTGTCTATGTTCTGTTCCTGGGCATTCTTCATTAGTTACTCTGAGGCCATCTTGTTTTTTTGTTTTTGTTTTTGGGGAGGGTTTGGTACCAGGGATCAAACTCTGGGACCTTGTGCTTGCGAGTTTGGTGGTGGAACCACTGAGCTAAATCCCCAGCCCTTCTGAGGCCATCTTGTGGTGGTCTCTGTGTCCTCCAATTTTTTTCCTTTTCCTGCTCATTCACATAGCTCCTCCAGGTTCTTTTCATCCCAGACCCTGCCTGTTCTTTGTACTCTGCATTTCTCCATGATGGATTTAGTGCTCTGCTGTTTGCATTCCTTTTCTCTTCAGCTTGGACTTGTTCCCTCACCCTTAGATCTGAAGTCTCAGAGATTCAGCTCCTTGTTGAACCATTATGGTATCCACACAAAAGGCATTTCAAGGTCAACAATACTACAGGAGAAGAACAACTTTCTCTCCTGTTACATAGTGGTCCAGTTGTGGAAAATGAGACTTTTCTTGGACTCCTCCCTTTCTCTTAGGTCTGATCTCATCTGGTGTCAACTTCGGCACCCATTAACATTGTTTTATTTTGTTCAGATATTTGCATCAGTGCCAGTGTAGTGGGAGGAGCTAATGCTTGTGAACCATTGCAGTGACTTTGGAAATGTCAATTCTTGCAGAGCCTAAAGGACATGTTGCTCAGTGACAAGGGCCAGTCCCTGGGGAATAGTGCTGATGTGCAGCACATGTGGTGACATCCTCAGGAGCTAGTGAGAGAAAGCATTCAGGAGATAGTGGGAACCTTTTTTTTTTTTCAGCTTTAAGTGGGACGCTTTTTTAAAAAACTTAATTTATTGGTACATTCTAGGTAGACATTACAGTTACATTCATTACTAGGATCTTGTTGTACTGGGACACTTTTTAATGAAGGTCAATAAAGAAAGAAAAACAAGAAGCACATTTTTTTTTCCAGTACCAGGGATCAAACTCAGGACCTTGCACTTGCAAGGCAGGTGTGGTGCCACTGAGCCAAATCCCTGGCCCAAGAAGCACACGTTTTTTAAGTTTATATCTTAAGTGTAAACATACTATGTTACTGATTCTGTCTGTACTGCCCGCAGCCTCGCACCCTTGATTCTGGGAATTGAACATAGGGCTCTCACTGAGCTATATGCCCAGCATTTTTTGAAATCACTTTTTTGATACTCCAGCCCCAAGTTGCTTGGGCTTTGCTGAACTTGTGATACTCCTGCCTCAGTTTATGATACTCCAGTCCTAAGTTGCTTGGGCTTTGTTCTTTGTTGAACTTGTAATACCCCTGCCTCAGCTTATAATACTACAGGTGTGTGCTACCAACCCAACTATCCATTGCATGTGTTCTTTTTTTGGGGGGGTACTGGGGATTGAACTTGGGCCCTTGTGCTTGCAAGGCAGGCACGAAACCACTGAGCTAAATCCCCAGCCCTGTATGTCTTTTTTTTTTTTGGTACCAGGGATGGAACTCAGGACCTTGTGCTTGTGAGACAGGTGGTGGAACCACTGAGCTAAATCCCCAACCTGTGTATATCTTCTTTTAAGAAAAATGTATATTTGGATCTGTTGACCCATTTTTAAATCAAGTGTTATTATTTTTATTATTATTTTCCTGTGAAGTTGCTTGAGATCTTTACGTATTTTACTATATGATCCCAGTATGTAACTAGCAACCATCATGAAAGTAGCTGGAAGGGAAAGGTCTTTTTTATCCTCTGCTCAGCAAGTTAGTAGCAGGTTCTGTCCTTGCTTTGCCTTCTCAATATGTCTGTTGTAGGATTACTTGGCTATGGTGCAGTTTTACTCCTCCGTATCCTGGCGGAGGTCATCGTGTCTCCTCTGATTCCTTCTCCGCTGATTCTCCCATAAGCCTTTCCGGTTTCCCTTCTAGGAGCTACTTTTGAAATGCAGACCTGCTCAGTTAACCTGTCCGTTCTTCCAGGACCTTATTATTCACACCCTGCCATTTGGGGAGTGGCAGTGCTCCCCTGGAGTAAACTCAGACTCGTTTGGCACATAGGAGAGTGCGGTGCCATGTGCGTGGTTTTAACTCATTTATTAAAAATCAGCGGATGCCTAAACTTTGTTTTTTGTTGGAATATATTCGAGTAGAAATGCAGGACCACACACTGCATGAGTTCCTCCGTGTTGTGTGTATCTCCCATCACAGACCAGGTTCACTGCCCTAGACACGATACTGCGGTTGTTCCATTAACGTGGCTGTGCTGACTCTGTGCTCGTGACCAGACTGATGCTGTTGCCCTGTGGTCAGGAGAATCCCTGGTTCACAGAGGGAAGAGCTTAACATTTTGGTTTTTCAGTGAAGTGCAACCTCCTAATATAATGAACTGCATTTTTTCTTTCTTTTTTTGGAGATAAGGACTCACTGTGTAGTCCAGGCTGGCCTTGAGCTCATGGCGATCCTCCTGCCTTAGCCTCCCAAGTGCTGGGATTACAGGCATGCATGCACCACCATTTCTGGCAAGCTGAACTATATTTTGTCCTTCCTTGCTTCATTTACATTGAAGTTGTGTGTAGATTAGTTTATGTAAGAAATTTAAGGTGAGCATGTATTTGTATTTATTTCTTCACAACAGATCACATGCTCCTTAAAGAGGCAAAAGTTTTCTTTACATTTTAATGCCTAGCAACTAGGATGGTTTAGATTTGTAAAGTAAACTCTATAATACTATATTTAGTAGTTAATAAATAATTATAATGCAGATTAATTTTGTGACTTTTTCTGTGCCATACAAAGCAGCCTGTATATTACAAACAGCTCCTTTTACCCCCTTTAAGCCAGAACTTTGAGGTTCCTACTGTGATCAGGGCTGATGAGTGAGAAATGTTCTCTTACAGGTGTTGGTGTCATTTGAGGATGTTTTTGTGAGCTTCACTTGGGAGGAGTGGCAGGTTCTGGACGATGCTCAGAGGACCCTGTACAGGGAGGTGATGCTGGAGACCTACAGCAGCCTGGCGGTGTTGGGTGAGTGAAATCCCCATCACTGTCTGATACCAGCTCCTTCTTAACAAACATGTAAGCGCTAGTAAGGGTTCATGCTATTAGCTGTAAACTTCTAGTCCATGACAAATGTGATTATTTACACTCTTAAGGAAGGTTTCACTTTGATGTCTTCATTACACAGCTCTTGAAGCCGAGCTGTTTTCATTCTTCATTCACAGAACCTGATGGTAGTTTCTTAAATACATTATTTCCCATTAACAGGACCTTATATCACTAAACCTGTAGTCATCCTTAAACTGGAACAAGGAGCAGATCCCTGGATGGGACAGGAATCTTCAAACCAATGCTCTCCAGGTCAGTCACTGCATACTGGGCAGGGTGGCCAGGAAGCAGGTAGCTGAGCAGATGCTGGCTATGGGCAGGTGTTGGGCGTTAATGTTTCCCCTAAGTCCCAGGCTCAGGACACCTGGGCTGCATCCATTAAACATGCAGGGCTCTCATACAATATGCCCACCATTTATTTTACTAAATATTTTCTTAAATATACCCAAAGCCTAATCCCTACTGTCCTCCTTTTAGAGCTTTGTTTTTTTTTCTTCAGTATTCTCAGTGTGTCTTGTCCTCCATTATCATAGACTTTTTTTTTGTTGATATTAGATATTTAATGATAAATGCATTTATACTTTTGGTGGGGGGTACCAGGGATCGAATTCAGGACCTTGTGCTTCTGAGGCAGGTGGCAGAACCACTGAGCTAAATCCCCAGCCCAATACTTTATCACATACAACCACACCACCCTCTGAGATTGAACCCAAGGGTGCCCTAACCTATATGCATTCCTAGCCTTTTTATTTTGTACAGTATTTTCAAATAGAGTCTCACTAAGTTACTTAGGGTGGCCTTAAATTTGTGATCCTCTTGCCTCACTCAGCCTCCTGAGTAGCTGCAAGTGGCCCTTATAAGGAGTTTTTTCTTTTGTTTTGTTTTTGCGGTTCTGGAGATTGTGGGGCCTCACACATGTGGGCGACCACTCTCCCAACTCACCGACACCCCTAGCCCTAGAAAAGATTGTATGTACTGGAAACTGTGTCATTGTATTTGTGCACCGTGCTGTCAGAAGTTGTGAAACAGCAAGAGGATCCAGCATAGGAGCATGAAGAGGGTGGCCTTAGACTTTCCAATGCACTGACAGGTTCTTAATCCCAAAGGCAAATGATTTAAAGGTTCTGTGTGAAGGAGTTCCGATTTCTGGTTGGGACTGGAGTTTGAATTGACCACGAGAAGGAGAAATGTACAGAGGACTCTGTTTTATGAAAGCAGGAGACCGTATCCTTCAGAGGCAGTGAATGAGCAAGCACGGGCCCATGTAACAGGAATTGAGGGGGAGCATCTGGGCTGTTGATCTCAGAAGGTTCCCGACAAACACTTTTCAGATGTTGGGCTCTAAAGTGGTGGGGTGTGGGGAGGGACAAGCTTCCTGTACTTGATTTGGTTCTGAGAAAGAAGCAGTAGGTTAATTAGGAATTTTGAAGATGCTGTCTTTGCTTACATTGGAAAAAAGAGAATTTATATTTTAAAAACTCCCAAATATCTCCAGTCATTCCCCAAGGAAGAATGAAAATGGAACAAGTAAATGCAAAGCCTGTCCATTTGTCATGTGCCTGCTTAGGTGACAGGAAATTGGACCTGTCTGGTATCTTACAACAGGGTGATCTAGACGTTCTTGCAACCTTCAAAGCAGAGTAATGAGAAAGGATATCAGAGTAGACCACCACCCCCTGCAAGAATAAGGTACAAAAGAACAAGGACAAAAATGGGAGGGATAAGCTCTCAATGTATGTGTGGCTCTATGGTGGGTGAATAACAAAATAGTTCTTTATGAAATAAAACAATCCGAAAGCATTTTAAGATTCTAAAATATGTCTATGTGATTTATTACATGAAAGTCTATAGGAAAACAAAGTATATGCTTATGCCCAATATCCATTATGACTTTTATGAAACCTCATTTTTTTTGTTTGTTTTGGTACTGGGGATCAAACTCAGGACCTTTGCTTTTGCAAAGCAGGTGGGGGAACCACTGAGCTAAATGCTGGACTTCTCATGCTTTTAACATAGGAAAAACTCTCTTTACCTATACATGAGGATTTTGTAAGAAATGATTAGGTATCTGTGGCTGACATCTAGATTTTTTTTTTCCTTCCTCATTTTAGATGTCCAGAAAGTGGATCACATACTTCAGCCCAGCCACGAGAGTCAAGGAAGACATTTGTGGCAAGTTGTTCTTACCACTAACAACACAACAGCTGAGGAGAGAGTTGAATTAGGATTGGAGCTCAAAGTCCTTGAGTGGAATTTTGATTTGAGGTCAAGCCAAAGTTCAGATTTGGTTATAGATGATGGAAGCTATTCAGCAATGGCGAATCTCCCCAGTGAGCCTAATGGAGAGAAACCTAATCAGTATCATATAACTGGGAAGTCCCTGAGATATCCTGAGCATTTCGGTCAGCATCCCAAGATTCCAACTGGGCAGCAGGATTTTCAATATAGTGGACAATGGGAACGCTTCACCAGGGAGGCAAAATTATTGAAAGAATGTGTTACATATAAGAGGGTTCCTATGGGACAGGCCTGCTGGAAGCATGATGAACCTGGGAAAGCCTGTGAGAAGTCAGCTGTCATTGCTACAGTGGGAAGGAAAACTCTTTATAAAAGCTGTGATCTCACCACACATGAGACACACACAGAGGAGAAATCCTGTGAATGTGGTGAATGTGAGAAAACCTTCATTGTGCAACAGAAGAAACATTCAGAGAAAGAACCCTATTCATACTATCCACATGAGGAGTCCTTCAGCTATAAGCCAGTCATCTCTATGCAGCAGAGTTTTCATAGAAGGGAAAAGCCCTACAAATGTGATGAATGTGGAGAGGCCTTTCACACTAAGTCAGACCTAGTGAGGCATGAGAGTATTCATGCTTGGGGGAAACTGTTTGAGTGTAAGGAATGTGGGAAAACTTTCTGCCGGAAGTCATCCCTTACTACTCATGAGAAAATTCACAGTGGGGAGAAGCCCCATCAATGCACTAAATGTAGAAAAGCCTTTCGCAAGAAGTCACAGCTCCGGAGGCACTGGAGAAGAATTCACACAGAAGAGAAACTTGAAGGATATGAATGTAATGAATGTGGAAAACATTTTCACAGAAAGTCAAACCTTACAAAGCATCGGCGTACTCACACAGGCGAGAAGCCCTGTGAATGTCATCAATATGGAAAATGTTTTGGACAGAAGATACACGTCACTAAACACAAGACCATCCACACTAGCGAGAAACCCTATGAATGTAATCAGTGTGGAAAATCCTTTGACCAGAAGACTTTCCTCACTAACCATCAGGTAATACACACTGGGGAGAGACCCTATAAATGTGATGAATGTGGAAAATCCTTTGCCTATAAGTCCAGTCTTGCTAATCATCACATGACACACACCCGGGAGAAACCCTATGGATGTAACCAGTGTGGAAAAACCTTTTGCCAGAAAACATACCTCAGGAAGCATGAGAGAACTCAGCATAGCGCCGAAGCTTCTATGAACCCCGGAAAACTTTCTAAAATCACACCTGTGCAAACAGAATTCACATAGTGGAAAAATCTCTCATGGCAGAAACTAGCTACGTGTCCTCCAAAAACCATTTCCATCTGTCTGAGTCACAGCCTGCATTTTTAGCCTTGCCTTATTGTGGTTGTCAGTTTACTGACTTCTGCCTGGGAAGTAGAGACACATGAGATGAACCTGCCAACATAAAGTTGGTGACCCTGCAGTCCTCTCACTTTGCTCATGATTTATGAGATTAGAGTGCTACTGATCCTGAGAATGGCCTTGAAGTACAGGTGGGAGATCGTCACTGTGATTTAAGACAGATAGATGAAGAGAACAGATCTTTCCAGCTCTGCCTTGGCACTTTACATTTTCACACAAACAGGAAATAAATAATCTACTCTTTGGCTATTTTATGGTGCTGTCTTATATCATCAGTGCCCCCTGTTACTGATTCACCATATGCATATAAGATCTTTCTGAGGAGCCAGGCATGGTGGTGCACACCTGTAATCCCAGCACTCCGGAGGCTGAGGCAGAAGGATCCCTGTGAGTTCGAGATCAACCTGGGCTACATAGTGAGACCCTGTCTCAAAAAACAAGCAAACAAAAAATCTTTCTGAGGAAAGTTACTAGTGTTTGTTTATTACAAAATTTATACATTGTCATGCCCAGCAAGAATGTTAAAATTCTTCCAAATTACAGTCATTGACTAGACTGTAATTCAAATTCACACACTTTCACACAGGCTGTCAATAAAGGTTAAATATTGGGCCAGGGATTTAGCTCAGTGGTGCTGCCACAAGCGCAAGGTCCTGAGTTTGAACCCCAGTAACAACAAAAAAAAGCAAATGTAAAAGAATTGTACATTTTTGCCTTCTGTTATCTGATTTTGAAACTATCTGTACAAACACCATATACAATGTATTATCTATTCTCTTGTATGAATGTAATATATTTGCAGGAGGTAAGTAGGACCAAAGAAATACTGGGTTGAGAAAATAACTAAATGGTAACACTTTAAAAACAGGATGAGATAGCTGGGCGTGGTGGTGCACACCTGTAATCCCAGCCCTCGGGAGGCTGAGGCAGGGGGATCACTGTGATTTCGAGACCAGCCTGGGCTACATAGTGAGTTCCAGGTCAGTCTCAACTACATAGTGAGACCCTGTCTCAAAAAAACTTAAAAACAAAAAACCAAAAAAAAAAAAAACAAAGGATGAGAAGGCCGGGGTTCTGCTGCCTGCCTCACAAGCACAAGGTTTGGAGTTCAGTCCCTGAAATAAAACATACCAAAAGATGAGAAACAAAAGATAAATGAGATCAATGCAGCATATTTTCTAAATATACACTTAATCTCCTGTTTTTTCAAAATATATAAAATTAGTCATAATATAGTAATCTATTGTTGAGCCTATGGTGTTTACATATGTAATCTCTATAGGGATAATACCTTGAAGAGGGATATAAAGGTTTTAAAGTATATAGTGATACAAAATTACATGGAGAAAGATGTAAAACTATAAAGATCTGTAATATTTGTATGTCTAATTGGAATTAAGTTAGAAGAACCCTACAGTGATTTGGGGAAATTTAGATGTACATGGTATACCTAAGTACACTGTAGAGCAAAAAGTGTGCAAGAAAATGAAACAACTATTAAAGAAATGTAAGCACTACATTAAATAATACTTGAAAGCCACTAAGCAGAATAGAGGACTAAGAAGAGACAAGAAAAAAGAGAAAAATGGAAACAAGGCTTTTGTAAATGATGGGAAGAGAGGTTAAAGGGAGGGGCATGGAACAGGAAAAGAAAGCAAGATACATCATTTACAGGCACAAATTCCATATGATAAATGTTATTATGTATATCTAAAATGTACTGGGGGGGGCAGGGAAAGGGCTGGGATTATAGCTCAATGCACAGACCCTTAGTTTAGTTCCCCATATACGCGCCCCCCACATACTAGGATCAAATAGAAAATAGCAAAATGTTAAACGTAAACACAATATTGATAATAGCACTAAATGTGAACAAACCGAAATGTAGAGATTGTCAGATTTAATTAAATACAAGATAGAGCTCTGTGCTACCATACATACATGTAATAGCCACTTTCTCATCAGTGGCACAAAATAACCTGACATCTGTAACTTAAAGGAGAGATTTACTAGGCTCATGGTTTCAGATGGTTCATTCCAGCTGGCTCCAAGACAGAAAGTGCTTGATAGAAGGTCTTGATGGAGGAAAGTTGCTGAATCCATGAAACCAGGAAGCAGAGAGCAAGAGAAGGTGCCAGAGTGAGAAAGACCTATATAGCTCAAAAGCATGCCACCAGTGACTCACCTCTGTCCCATGTTCTAACTGCACACTGAGTTATGAATTCACCAGTGGTGAGTGTTTCACCTGATCCATTTGCCTTCTGAATCATATCTGAACATACAAAATTTATGGGACATTTTTAGATCTAACCCGTAACACTTCACCACTTGGATGCCAGTCCTTTGACTGCCTAGAAAGGGAGATGTTGAGGGCTAAAGAAAAAGATAATAGAGACTTGGCAGAATTTCAGAGTATATGGGGGCCTGGGAGGTCAGTGCTACAGAGTGGGAAACACCAAAACTCCGTACTAGGCACCACTTATTGGATACACACAATTGGAAGTGGTATTGGTTGACTTAGGGGGCAGCAATGAACCTTGTCGATGCAAATCTCATGCTGATGAGGGTGGAATGGAGAGCATTCCCAGGACAGGAGGTGAGATGAGTTAAGCTGATAAGGAATTTGTCCCTCCCCAGGGGAAACCTTTCTCTTTGTATTACTATGTTCTCAAAGAACCAGAGGTTAAATACTTGCAGTGTACTATGGGGTAGGGGTGGTGAACCTATGGCACAGCTTATGGTGGTACTGCAAGTGGGCTGTTTGTATCATTGAACGCTCTAAAAGGGGCCAGGGATTTAGCTCAGTGGTTTGGTGGCCTGCCTTGCAAGCGCAAGGACCTGAGTTCAATCCCTGGTACCAAAAACAAAAACAAAAAACAAGAAAGCTCTAAAAGGTTTGCCATCACTGCCATAGGATATAGGTTACCTTGCTTTATTTGAAAAATGTTTACGCAGGCTAAATACTCCCATTCCAAAAGGGAGGAATAGGAGAAAGGAATGGGGGTCAAAGGAAGAGCAAAATGAATCAAAGCAAACATTAAATCATATAATTCCATGTCTAGCATCTGGGCCATTAGTGGAAAGATGTGCACTCCAAAGAGTGGGCAGTTCCATTCCTATGGCTCAAGTGCTCCTAGACAACTCTTGAAGCACATGTATTAGAATCATTTGCTGGGGATATAGTTTAATGGTAGAGCATTTGCTTGGTATGTCAAAGGTCCTGGTTTCAAACCACTGAATTACAAAAAGAACTATTGGCATCAATAAATGTATAGAAGTACATGCTAATGTCATAAAAAAACTACTGAAGTTATTTTACAAATTTCTCAAGACTCTTGAATACTCTTTTTCAACTTCTCAAATCTGTGGAATGCTATTGTTACTCAGGTAAAAGAAGCATTTAGGACCCCAAACAGACATGACCAAAAAAGAACCTCACCATGACATGTTATATAGTCAAAATACTATAAATTCAGAACAAATTTAGAATACTGGAAGCTATTAGAAATGCCAAATCACTCATTAGGGCAAATTCAGCAAAGTAGAACAGATTTCCCAATCAAAAAGGTCAGGAGGTGTTGGGACAATGTATTTTAAGATGAAATTGCCAAGCAGATTACTATATCCTGCAGAGTCACCCTTCAAAATCGAAGCAGAAATAAAATGATACCACAAAAAGTATAAGCTAAAGAAATTCAGGACTACTTAAAATTCTAGGTCCGGAGATTTAGCTTAGTGGTGCTGTCACCTGCCTTGTAAATGCAAGTCCCAAGTTTGATCCACTGGTACCAAAAATAAATAAATAAATAAATAAGAAAATTCTACACACAAGACGATAACAACCATTGGGCCAAGGGAAAGAATAAATCTCACTGGTAGAGTAGATGAATGAGAAAGGAAAGTGAATCAAATGCTTGAAAAACAAAATGACATATCAGTACACACTTTTCAATAATAACATTCTAAATTTTCTTAACTCTCCAATCACAGGGCACTGACTAGCAGGTTGGATAAAAAAATAAAAACAAGGCCCATGTATGTTACCAGCAAGAAATACACCTCATCTACAGAGACATAGATTGAAAGTAGTATGGAAAATGATATTCCAATGAGCTGGAGCTCCAAAACAAGCAGAAGCTATACTTGTATTTGAAAATGTAGACTTCAGACTAAAACTGGTCAGAAGAGACAAAAAAGGTCACTACATGTTGATAAAAGGTACAATTCATGAAGAGAGAACAACAGTACTTGACATAAAAGGATAGATCAATCCCAGTACAATCATAGAGTAAGATGTCAGCACTCTTACAAAGAATGAACCAGAGGTGGGCGGGGGGACAAGCTTTAGAATTAAACTACACTATAGATTAAAAAGATTCAGTGAATATCTAGAGTATTCCATTCAACAACAGCAGAATATGTATTTTTTTCAGAAGCCTGAGATTTTCTCCAAAATCAACCATATTTTATTCCATAAAACAATCTCAAAATGTAGAAGAAATGAAATAATCTTATCAGATCACAATGGAATGAAAGTAGAAATCAGCAAAATAAACTACAGAAACGAGAAACTATACTGAGAGGTTATATAGCATAATCTTGTGTCAATGGGTCACTGAAGTCAGAAATTAATGAGACTAAAAACAAATACAAAGGATCAATAAATCAAAGAGCTCTTTGAAAAGAAACAAGATTGAAAAATCCTTACTAAAAGAGAAATGTCCAATTAATAAAATTAGAGTTGAAAAAAGTGAAATAAAACACACCAGTGAAATAAAGGGGACTGTTAGAAATTTTTTGAAGCTGGATGTGGTTGCACACACTTGTAATTCCAGTAGTCAAGAGGATCACTATAAATTCAAGGTAGCCTCAGCTAAATAATGAGTACATAGTTCAAAGCCAGCCTAGAATACAGAGGGATACCCTGTCTCAAAAAAAGGGACAGAAATTATTTTGAAAACATTTTAATGCATTGGAGATTTTAGGAAATAAATGGGTGTTGGGACCAGGCTAGGTGAAGAATTATTGGGAGCCAGATTGTGTGAATATGCCCCACAGTACTGAGGCCAATGTGACCTGCCTTGCAAAATAGAAAAGCATATGGAAAGCTGTGTGCTTTCTGGCTGTGTGGAGAATGCTCATAATAACAGTACTCCCATGGCAAGATAACGTCTGCTGAGGACAATGTAAAGAATGCTAGTTTCTTGGGGCCAGGGATTTAGCTCAGTGGTTCCACTGCCTGCCTTACAAGCACAAGGGCCTGAGTTCAATTCCCATTACAAAAAAAAAAAAAAAAATCCTAGTTCCATCTTAGCTTGGGCAGGCATCTGATTATAG